AATTGAAAAATGGCTTGACAAAATTTTTCAAAGTACAAAATCACGCACAAGATGAAGATCGAAGTCACGACATCTGCTACACGACATAACTTTGTGCACGATTTTTTTTCTTGTTCACCGAATGAAAAGTGCTTTTGTTAGAATAATTCAAAATTACCAAAACCACAAAAACTCTTGTTGCACGAGGTTTCAAAGATTTCTTTCGAGAGAAGAAGAAAACAAAAAAAAAAAAAAGAAATAACTATCTGCGTATCTGTATCTTCGCTCTCAATATTTACCGACCTTACCCAACCCAGTTAGCTTCCTCTCGTTCAGAGAGCGGTTCATAGAAAGTGAACTTCACCTCCTTCGCGTAATTTCCGCGGCTCTATTTGCTTAGCCTAGACCCCTGGTCTAACCTCCGCTCTACACACGTGTCCACCTCTGCTCCACACGTTATAGTTGCACGTACGCGTGCAATAACGTGCGATAACGTGCAGACTGGGGACGGGTCTGTAGAGCGGTTCGTGCTGGTTCGATTAATCCACGCACCAGCACGAACGCAACCTTGGCACCGATGCGAACCAGCCGTGAAGTGCAGCCTCCATCGCGGTTGCACACGTATGCGAACCAGTACTGTTGCACTACCTATCGCGTTTGATTAGGTTCGCCTGTGGTTTGTAACGGTGGCGTGTGGGTGGCGGTTCGCTCGTGTTGGAGTAATTCTGACCAAACAGCCGGTTTAACGTTTTGCACGTTTAATTAAAGAGTCGGGCGATTCGACTGGCGGCAAAAGTTTAACCTCTTGCGCTGGAATGACGTGCCGCGGCACGTCGAGAACTTTTTGTTTCCCAAAATTGCAATATTTTCTCAGTTATAAGTATATTTAAATGTAATGTGGATAGGCTTGCGTATTGAGAGGTAGATTTTTGGTTATTTGTAAAAATTTCTGTAGCTTTATACAAGATAATTTTTTTATAGTATTATATAAAAACTTCTTTTTTAGATTGTGTTAATTTTCTGACGCAGCCAGAAGCCGTTTTGATTTAGTGAAAAAGAAATTCTACGTGTGGAGATTTCATAATTTTGAGATTCGAGAAAATAGAAAAAGAAAGACTTAAGATAATTACATAAATTTCGAAATTTTGAGTGATTATTTTCCGCCATTATCGTCGAAACAGTAATTCTTGTAAAAAAAAAAAAAAAAAACAAAATTGTAACACAATACCAATTGTAAGAGATGAAAGAAAGATATATGTTTTTCAATTTCAGGTAAAAACTCAAAAACTCAAAAACATACAACAGGAATAAAATTCACTCTGAATGACCAATAAGATTCACGTTTAACCTAAGCTAATCTAAACCTAACCCAAGGACCGTATATTGATAGCACATGTGACATATAATGTGAATATGTAATACTCCTCACCACCAAAGATACTCGTAACCGAACCGCCATAATTCACCTAACACTCGCCATGTCATTTTTTTTTTTATCTACAATCTTTTTTTTATCTACAATCAACCACCGTAGTTCTTCCTCGCGTAAGAATCGAAGTAGAGAAAACAAGAGAAAACAAGAGAGAACAAACGAGTGAAGAAGATTCTTAGGAGGGAAGAGGAGAAGAGGACGATAGTGAGAGGATAAGTGCTTCACGCGAAGCCTGAAATGCGTCATTCGGCGTGTTAGCCGGCAATAGGGGCACGCGATAAGGTACGAAAAGCCTCGTAAATTGCGGCAGGGGCGTAGATAACGAGGCGCATTGGCGTGACCTTCTCGCGGCGGGCGCTCGCGGGCCGCTTTAAGGCCGCTTTTAAAGCCGCGACTGATAACGACGCGCTCGCGAGAGACCGCCGCGAGCGCATGCGTTTTTTACTCGCGAATTCTACACGCCATTCAACTCTCAATAGCCGACCTTCACCCTATGCTACGCGCGTGCATATGTGCAACAGACAGGCGAGCATCGGCATCGAGAATCGGTGTGAGTTACTTGTCCACCAATGTACCAATGTTCCCGTGATAGTTTCAATTTCTCGCGAATTTGAATTAGTTTGTAGAATGGGAATTGTTATGAATATCCTCTCTGTGTAAAATATATAAATAGGTGAGTCAAAATTTTCTGTTTTTTTTTTTTAATAAAACATCGAAATACAAGAAAAAAAACTAATTTTATTGATTTTGAATAAAAATTTAAGTTCAAATTACCTCTTTCAAATGTTAAAAAAGAATATATGATAAAAGAATTACGGATTTGTTTAAATTCTTGACCCGCCCTATATTTTGAAATTTCACAAACACGAGATTCGACTGTATCAGGATTATATTGTACAAGTCTAAAAACGTATTAGCACAAGTATGAATCACAAAACTATTTGAACAGCCAACTATCCATTATATTAATATTCAGTGCTATCGTATTTCTGCAATAGTAATTTTTTCGCATACATTTTCAAAGTGATCCCAAATTTTGCCAATACAGTCGTTTCTCTAAGAAAAATTTTTCTTTTTTTTTTACACGTGATATGAAACCTTACTAAACTATGAAACCTTAAATCTTTTATTGAAATAGTTATATAAAATGAGTAGACTGTTAACCTCTTGGTGTCAACGTCTTTGGCACGTCTTTGAACAATTTGGCATGCGAAACGTATAACAAGAGACACGTGCCAAACACGTTACTTGACGTGAAGGGATTAAGTAACTTATTAATGCTTTATTATTATCTTTGTTATTAATTTAACCATGACGCACAAGCCTAATGTCTTCACTATCCTAGACTCTCCAAAGGTCTAGTTAATAAAAAAATCCCTTTGATCTTCTACAACAGCGTGAGGAGATAAATCGAGCACGCAAGACAGCATTTAAGTAGATTTGCCCGGTATCTAGTCAGACGCTATCTACCTATGTGAACGTGTTGACTGCGAATGTGCAGTAATTTTAGTCTAATTTATTTACATTTGTGTTTCATACTGACAATTGATATCCTAACTTTTAGAATTTTCCTTGCTGTAATAACTAAATAGACACTTCATAGTACTGATGACTAATCTATTATAAAATTAAATAATCTATTATAATTAATAAAATCTATCAATGTAACAAATATTCTATAGAAATTTTAACACTATCTTTAGAGTATCATCACGCTGATAATTATCCAAAAAAGTAAAAAATATTTAATAGTAGAATCATCAAAATGGTCGAAATAACCAATTCATAATTTGTCATAGAAATGTCTCAGACTTTTAGAGATTACTATACTACGAACTAACTCCAGCTTTTCTGACTCATGTTTTATACTTTAATAAATAAAAATACTATTTAAACCTAAGCCAGTATCAGAAGTATTATAGACAACTTTTATCATTGTAACAATTCTTCTTAAAACTGCGAGTTGAGTAATCACGAAATATTAACCTTAAATTTAAAATAATCCAAAGATAGGCTGCTTACGCGTATGGTTGCGAAACTATAAACGAAGGATAATTTCGAATGCAGATAAGAGGAAGCCTTGATACAGGTGTTAATTGACCGTCTACCAGCAGTATGCTAATCACCATCCGTTTCAACAGTCGGTTTCGCTTAGACACCATTAGAGATTGAAATTCATGGCGCAAGGTGTTTCCAGTGACATCAATTTCAATTGACAAGAATAGTCGCGAAAGTTATAAATAGCAGTGCATTTACAATATTGTTCAGAATTGGGATTACGATCGTACCTTTCAAATGGAACAGAAAAATTCATAATCTATCACGTTTAAATAAAAGAAGAGAATACTATAAACTATATTTTTGTCAATTTTCCTCCTCGTTTGAATATTACGTTGCGATTACGCGTAAGAATGAAAATAATTTGTGAAATAAGATGCAACGTTCTTTAAAAATAACTGGTAAGCGAAAGTTAAAGATACAATTATTAAAACAAACTGATATTTCAGTGGCGTGACGTATAATGTTTTCAAAATTTCGACGTTCATTTTCACTTACGATTAGAAAAGATACATGAGTCTTAAAAAAAAGTTCAGGGTATCTAGGCTACGAAGTACAAAGTTTCAAATCAAATATAGAACAAAGAATACTTTGTAAGAAACAAACACGTCTCACACGAACGGGGAATTGACGGCGCATATATGTTTCGAAAAAGTTTAGCACAACTTGGCATTTTATTTGCCCGGTCGTATAATTCTTGTGAAATCTGCGTAAGCTAATGACTCGCGAATGCGGTAAATGGTACGCGTTTGATGGGACAAAGAATAGAACCTTTCTTTGCCGTTTGTGCAAATAGTTGGAAATGCTTCCAACAGAACTGTTTCGAATTCCACGTACGCACAGGATGACCCATTTACTTTAGAGGATTGCATTGTACTATCAAGTTGTACGACTGATACATTTTACATTGTACTTTCATTTCCTCAATTTTTATAATAGATTGTATATCAAATTTTACGTCTGAGAGCACGATTTTTCAATTTCTTACACGATATTTTATGACGAGAAAATAATGTTCTCGATTTTGAAGATAAATACGCGTATTTTGATTTGACAAGGCTTCAAGTTTTATGTTCCTTGACGGGAAAATAATGTTTCAAATTTGTCAACGTGTACGTCATCGGCTAAAAATTTAAAATCAATTTCTCAGTCTACTATATTGATTCGAGAAAATTGATTCAATTGCCAATAAATTTTTATTTCATTCTATGCCAAAATTATCATCCTTAATAATTATACTTCTAAACTTACAATATACTTCAAACATTATATATATATATATATATATATATATATATATATATATATATTTTTTTTTTCAAGTATTAAGTAAATCTTGTACTTTTATACAAAATACTACAAACACGCATAAACATCCACCTTGAAACAGTCCACTTTGAAAAAGAAATCAATTCTCAACAAATTCTTGTTGTATCAAAATTGTTACCCGCGACAAATGGACGATATAAAACCCAATATCTAAACAATTAATTAATTACAGTTATGTAAAATGACGTGAGAATATACATACAAGTGTTCCCACGGGACCAATGCTGAGCCTGGGTTCCTTGGATGATGGCGGTCACCGACATCATCGGCTTCTCTTTCTTCATCATCTTGGCCGTCTTGATCTTCCTGTTTTCACTCGTCACTTTTATTTTTCTTCCTTTCTTTCCTCGTGAATATATATATATATTTCTGAACCCGAGAGGGATCCTATTCTCAAGCGAAACTCGCGCGATACCCTGGTCGCTTCATCTCGACAAAACGACAAAACAACTAGCCACCGCACCACTTCCACCTCTTTCTTCCCTTCGGATCGAGCCGCCTAACTTCGCCGCCTCTTTTGGTATCGATTTGGTTTCGTTCAATGCACTCCTCCCTCTTTGGTTGTTTCGCGCTCAACCCTCAGTCAACTCTCGATCGCTCTACGATTAGGAACAAGAATGGATTTATCGCGTGAAAGGGGAGAGGATTTAGCGACTCTCAGCGTCACGACTCGATCCGCCATTTGGTTCACGATATGGAGATTCGCCGTGTTTGAGGATAATAAATTTATTACTTGGAGAGAATTGTCCGTTTAGAAGCTTCATTCTTTTTTATTTTTTTATTTTCTTTGTCTTTTTGGTTTAAAGGAAATTTTTGTTATGTTGCGATTCAAGCAAATTTATTTTACCTTTTGAAAAAAGGACGATGTAGATATTGTCATAATTTACTTACGTTTTTTTTCTTTTTTAGTGAATAGAAATTTTACAAGTTGAAATTTACAGAAAATTTTTTACATTTTCGAAAAAGACCAGTGTCATCGAAATACTGCATTTCATAGAGAATAGTCTGTTAAAAAGTTTCATTATTATTTTCTACGTCTTTTTTATTTAATTTCACATATCAGTGTTATAATATTTTTACGTTTTTTAAAAGGAAAGTAAGCGTGAAATGAATAGATGATGTGAGGGAATATCGTCAAAATTGACTGTTAAAAAGTTTTCATTGCTATTTTTATGTTGTTTTTAATCATCTGACGTGAGAATGGGAACTTTTTCACATTTTAAACATGTTTTCATTCGTTAATTCTTTACTAAAGAAAATGAAAAATAATGATTATATATACAAGAATCGCGGAAAAGAGAGTTTCTCTTGATGAAAATCCCTCAAATAAAAAACACACTTCATTAATTCAAAGACCTCTCAACATTTAAAATATTTTTTAAAAATCCGTAGAGAAATCAAAAATGAATTTCATTTAAACCAAAAAATGATTCCATACACAATTATCACGAATCACATAGCCAAATAATTCCAAGATGAAATTATCATAAAAAGTACTAAGGTTTCTGATTTAACTCGAATCGCCTAGGATTCACACTTAATAAGTAATGATAGAAAAAAAAAAATGAATTAAAATTTCATTCTCAAGAAACACGACACTGTAAACTCTCGTTTCAATTTTTTTTTTTTTTTTTATCGTGGCACCAAATTGCGAACCGATTTCTCGACTCTCTCGTTGCATCCTTTCCCCCTTCGATCTTCGGATTATTGAAAAATGAAAAGACGGAGAAATTGAAGAGAAACGTATCGCGCGGTGATAAATAGAGCGGGACGTTAATTCAAGCTAGATAGAGTTTCCCTTTAGAACCGAGCACGACGATACCTGTTTCGCTGGCGTAACGTGAGCGGAAGTTCGACTCGTGCAAAAATCACACTCGTCCCCTTGAGAAACCAGTCTTTAATGCGTAACGTAGAAAGAAGAACACTGGATGAAGAATTAAAAATTACAAAGCATTCGTACGTTCGACGAAAAATTGCCGATATTTAAAACTCTTATAATTTCGTGAGGAAAAAAGAAAAAAAAAGAAAAACAAATCGTACAATAAGTTTCAAGGGATATCGTAAAGAAGAAACTTCGATCTACAAGATCGTGATCGATTTGATCGTAAAGACGTTTGTGAATTTGCAAAATTATCGAAAGAAAAAGTATTCTTATTTACCCCCGTAATCAAAATAATGAACTCAGTATTGTAACAGTAAGAGCTTCATACCTTAACTTTAAACCAAAAATTGAAAGTTATCATAAAATAGAAATCACGAAACATTTATCAAATTTATTTATCGAAAACCTTTATTATATATATTATATATATATATATATATATATATATATATATATATATATATATATATATATATATTGACAAATTATTATATTAAAATGAATCGACAATTGTAAATTGTCGCGCGATTTTTTCTCACGAAACTGTGAGAGTTTCAAATATCGACAACTGAAAATGAGTAGAGAGTATTTCTCAAAGTCGTGAACTCAAGAGTCAAGAAACTTCGAGATAACTTCCGGCTATGAGTCACATGTTGAATTGGATATTACGTGCGAGATACGGTAACTATCGAGAACTATGTTTTGTCATATCGTTGCATAGATAATGTTGCTCTTTCAGTGTAATTTTTTGCGACAATAAAAAAAGATGTTATTTTATAAAGTTGTAACACATCATTAGCAATATGCGAAAGCGATCACGTATGTACGTGCATATTATTTACCTCGAACGTTTTAAAATTGTTTCCAGTATTATCTCAACGTTCGTAAATAAATTACGCATGCATCACGGAATTATAAATGTATTATCTTTTAGAAATTGGTTTTATATTATCTTCCGGCGAGTTTAATAAATTCATCACGAGGAAGATTATGCAATATTTCGATTATAACGTAAAACGAAGTATGAAGAATTTGTATAAAATGATACAAATATGAATACAAAAATAATAATAATAAAAATTTGATTATAATAACATAATCCACTAACATGTGTAAATATTATTGGATAATATAGTAATAGTTCTAAAGTAATATAAAATATAGAGAATTATATAAAATTGATACAAAAATAGAATAATAATAATTCGATTGTGTAATATAATTAAATAATTTGGATAAAATTAAAATTATTAATAACTGTTCGCACAAAATAATTGAACTCCGCGTTATTATAACTCTTAATTAATACGACTTGATAAAAGAAATATCTTTAATAACAACGTGAAAATAAATCAAGCAAGGAAAACAAACTTTAAGTAGATTAGTCCTGTATACGGTCAGACGCTACAGTAGATCTGCTTCATGCTAGATTTAATTTTAATCTGAATGTACTTAAAAGTGAGATATATCTACACGTACAGGACAAATTTATATTTCATACTAATTATACTAATTCACAAGTACAGTATAATTAATTTAAAATTTAAACAAAACTCTCACGGTTTTATGCATTTCCTTTTAAGAATTATCTGTCGAAAATTTCCTCGCTTGTGGATGCAATTGACAATGTGCAGTTGCTAATTGTTGTTATTATTATTATTATTCTATTATTAAATAACTATTAAATTTATATGCGAGCAAGTAGAAACTGAACACCAAAGAAACTCGAGGACCGTCGATCGCTTCAGAAGCACGTTTCAAATTTACGGGGGATTAAAATGCGTGCGTAAACCAAGAATAAACCGACAGCGGGATTCGGGGAGGCGAACGAAAATGAAAAGTTGGAATGCGTCACCGGCGACATCAAAAGAGTCGCGCGACTGTCGCGGACGGCGATGTTTCACGCTTTTTACGCGTTCGAGAACTGACGAAGAAACACGAGAGTGCCAGGTCGTGGCCGTCCCGGAGAAAAATCGGTACGAGAAATCTGCGACAGAGAGGAACTATTTCCACGAGAAGAAAAACGAACGAGTTCACACTTGACCAATAACTCTGCAAGACCTAATTTTAACATCACGATAAACCTAATTTACTACATGCCTAATTTACTTGCTAAATGTTCGTTCGTTTCAAAAATTTCAAGCATATTGCAAATGCGAATTCACATCGATATTCCTGGTAATAAATGTTTGTATTTTTGTACATGATTGTCTTTATTAAATAACTCATAGGCGAAACGTGACACGTGTACAAACGAACTGACCTATGTGCAACGTTGATAGACGAAACAACGATATATTCGCAAACATTTCATCATCCTGTCGTCCTCCACTTCAATTCCACGATTTCAGAGGATCGGAGAAGAACCACGGGAGCGTTTGCAATATCGTTTGCTGATCCTGTTGATGGATGGATTCACCCGGAACCGAGAACTGAAATTTCGTTCGGATAAACAACGATCGAACGTAACTGGAATTCCTCCAGCCGGTGTTATAATACAAACGGCGACCTTGACCACCGCATGTAGGCAGCAAAATGCGACTGCCTTGGCTGTGTGCAACGGCGACAATCGCCGCCGGTGGAGAAACAATGCTTACGTAACGCGCGCGCGCGCGGCCAATTATGCAAAATGCATCCACGTGCATTACAGCCGAGGTATCTTCTATTCTTTCGGCGTCGCCTGGTGTATCCGCCTGACGACTCCGCTTTGTACACGTCGCTGGACGATAATGCTCGTCCAACCGTGCCGCGACACACCGCGACCATTGTTATGTAAAACCTTTCTAGCAAGGAGGAAGAGAATACGCGGGAAAACAGAGTAGACGATTTGACACTCTGAACTTGAAAGAAAGAAATTCGGAAGAGATTTTCGACCCTCGGTCCAACTCGAGAAGATCACTCGAAAATTGGGGGGGTGAAAAGAAAAATTTTATTTGTCATTCGATCAAAGTGAGACTAAGCTGTCGATAAAATCAATGGAGGAAGTACTTCTGACTAATTTCTGCACTTCTCGAGCTCTGCTACGATGACAATAATTGCACGCGGAAATAGTTGGTTTGAAATAATAATGGTTGGAAAATGGAAAAAATACTTAGAAGCTGAGTATTTGAATTTTTTTGACAGTCGTCGAAATTACTTAAGAATAAAAATTTATTCTTTATAAAGAAGTTAGGATGACAAACGTGGAATAAGATTTAACATACAAACATGTATAAATTTCTTTACTTGGTATAATAACATTTTTTAATGTTCACTAAAGGTACCACAAAAATAACTTGGTAGGGCGCAACTTATTTTTATCATCATTCAAATATAACTTTTAAACGCTTCATATATAATTAGATACCTGAAATTTTTTACACTGAATAAATTTTGGAATTTTGAAATATTTTGGAAAATTTTGGACTTCTATTATTATATATAATATTAAAATATTAAATATAATATTAAATTTAAATATTATAATATTAAATATAATATTAAATTTAATACTAAATATTAAATATAATATTAAAATTTAATTTGAAAGTCGAATCGATTCCAAGAACTGTACATTCGGATTTTGGAAGACCACCGTAGTTTTCGCTGATTAAGATAAAAAAAAAAAAACAATTTCGCTTTGTTTCTTCTTTTGCATTTTTCGTTGATCGATCGATCAACTTTCCTTTTTCGCGACGATCAATCACAAAAGTAAATGAGAGGGGGAGTACTTCTAAT